CTGCTGCTATTCATAAGGTTTTCACTGGTCTTTTTCTTTTTTTTTTTTTAGGAGTATTTTGCCATGTCCTTCTTCCTAGTCTATCTTAGTCCAGAAGCTCCGCTGAAACCTGTCCACCATGGGTGACCCTGCTGGTATTTTAAATACCAGTGGCATAGCTTCCACCATCATGGCAACACTCAAACCACCACAGCAGGACAAACTGACAGACGATACAGGTGACCAAATGGAAGTCAGAGAGGTTAAGTGATGTATCTGAGGTCATACATCCAGTCAAGGACAGAGTTTGCCCTAGAATTCAGTTTTTGACTCTAAGCCCAAGGGCTGTGATTGGAACAACGCTTAACTCTGCTTAGTAAGAGGATGTGGACTTCTGTAGACTGTGAGTTAACCAGCTCATCCTCTCTCTTCGTTCTTTGGACACTGGTACCTAAAAGAGGCTAGTGATAAAAATTGTCACCTTTAGAAACTTCTCATGGCTACCTATTCTCAGTAATAAAGATGTTGGGAATTGCAAACTCAAGGAAAAAAACTCCATCAGTACAGAGCAAATTATGTAAGTGTAGCAGTAATCTGTATTTATTATATTTTTAAAACTACAGAGACAATCATTTCCTTACATATATATATGTACGTGGACATTTTCAACATAAGAACTGAATCCAACCTGGCACACCATAGGTGCTTAATAATTTATTAATATTAGTAGCTGTATTGTTAATTATAGTAAATAGCAGATTGTAGGGAAATTATGCCATTAACCTTTTAGCTAGTGTGTCTAAGAAATATATCCTCTTCATTTTTCTATAAAAATTCCTCATGGGAGCTTTTTTATAAATAGGAAACCTCAGTAAAATAAAAATGTCACTCTCTATTTCAGTAGCACCTATATGAAATTACAAAATCCACTATTTAATGGCCGATTCCATTGTTTTTTATTTGTTTTGTTTTGTATTTGGTATGGTGGTGGCAGATAACCACAAAATTGCTTTTCTGGTAGTTAGAGATCATAGCCTTCCCTACCCCGACCCCTCTCAAAACAAAACAAAACAAAAAATACCTGAATCAGCCATTGTTTCACCCTGAGGTTATTAAATAAAAAAGGCTTCCAGAGACTTTCATTAGAAAGAAAGGAAGGAAATTATTTTATTCCTTAAATGAGGTTGTTAAAACACTTTTTCAGCAGATCATGTTGGTAGCGAAGATATTTAAGAGCTGACATATCCTATTAAATCAAGCCATGATGTCAGAAACCTAAATTTTATCCCAAGTGCTATTAAAAAAAAAATGATGCTCTTGTAGCTTTACAGGTTCTTCAGCTTTTGTAAATAATGCTGTCGGGGCATTGAGTGGGTAAAGCTTTAATGCTAAACTATGTAGAGCTAGTTGAATTCAGGAAACTGAGAAGGCTCTATGATCTCGATTACTTTTGTTGATGAGGTTGGCAGCCAGATCCAATTTGAAGAAGTAAAGGAAGAAGCTGGGCATAAAGAGTGCAGGATGTCTAAGACCTTAACTAAGATTTTCTAAGAGAGATTCTCTTTAGTCTGAGGCTCCCAGGAACATCCTTGTTGCCTACCTGGGAAGTCTCCTTTCCGAAATTCCTTAGCCCTACGGAGGCAGCTTGAGGGTTAGCTCTTGGAAAAGTGACTCTTTTATAACAGCAGTCTTCTCTGTCACAGAAACTTTCAGTCTGTGAGAATTCTATTTAATTACATGGTTGTAACCCCAGGTATTCATGTGACTGGTGCGTTTCGAACACCTGACCTCACAGTGCAGCTTCTGAAGCTACCTAGCTCAGGGGGCTGAGGAGGAGACGAGGGTAGTTCAGGTGCTGGAACGATCTGAATCCTTACGTTCTGTCCATCTAAAGTGGACTTGGAACTCTTCTCTGCTCTCTGCTGCATATTCCTGAGCAGCTGTTCAGCAGCTGCTTTGCTCCACCTCAGCAGTGGGTGAAACAACTCCACTGTCTGTTTATGGCAGAACAGAAAGGGCCCTGGGATAAAATGCCCTGAATAAACATCAGATATTGTGAGTATTTTTATTCCCCGTAATGCAGCACATTATTATTAGCCAAGAACTGTGGCTTCTCAGCTGAGAGCGGGTGCGCTTGACAATATCTCCTTGCATCCAGCCCCTCCTCCTTTTGAGTCCCTACAAGGTGGGGGAGGCTGTAGCCCAGCAGGGTGCTGCTTTTCCCCAGAAAGAGGGTTGAGATGCATGCTATGTACCTAACACTCTACGCCCCACGCTGTGGCCTCAAAGAACCCCAGCCGACTTGCTGCTGGGTTTTTTTCCCTCCTCTTTGTTGTAGAGTTGGGGGCTGGTGTTGGGGAGGGGAGAAGCTTATAATACACATTTTGTGTTTATGTAGCACTTTTCACCAAGGAGAGCAAAATGCTATATGGACCTGATCTCATTTATCTTCAGCATATGCCTGCAGAGTAGAAAGGAAGTATTTATAATCACCTTTGATTTACCAAGAGGGAAACTGAGGCCTGGAGAAGCTTACCCAATCGTGATAATATTATGGATTTTTAAAGTATCTATGTATAAAGAGATAATAATGACAACCATCTTTATGGCCAGGCACACATATAGTAATGCCTGTAACCCTAACCACAACCCTATGAGGTAGGTACTCATCTCTTTTTACAAATGAGGAAAACAAGGTACAGAGATGTTAAGTAACTTGCCAAAGGTCCCACAGCAAAATGAGTCCCAGAGGCAGGGTCTGAGCCCAAGCAGTCTCTGCTCTTAACCAGCCCACTTGCTGATTTCATGGGAGTGACTCACTGGGTCCTCATGCCACTTCATAGGAACATGATTACTATTAGTCTTTGTTAAAGAATTGTTGTTGTTGTTGTTGTTACTGGGTGCTGTGGAGCTGATTCCGACTCTTAGTGACCCCATGTGACATGAGTAGAACTGCCCCATAGGGTTTTCTAGGCTGTAATCTTTACGAGAACAGATCGCCAGGTCTTTCTCCCAAGGAGCCATGGGTGGGTTCAATGTTGTGGCTAGCAGCTGAGTGCTTAACCATTTTTGCCACCAGAGGTCCTTTGCTAAAGGATTAGGAATGATTAAAACCATTCTCAGATGAGTAAGTGTGAGGCATTGGTAGTTCAGTGACAGAATTTTTGCCTTCATGTGGGAGACCTCTGAATTCGATTCCTGACCGATACATATCAGGTACAGCCATCACCTGCCTGTCAGTGGAGGCTTTTGCCTTGCTCTGATGCTGAACAGGTTTCATTGGAGCTTCCAGACTCAGGCTAGGAAGAAAGGCCTGGTGATCTACTTCTGAAAATCAGCCAGTGAAAACCCTATGGATCACAGTGATCCCAGCCACAACAGATCACAGGGGTGGTGCACGACTGGGCAGCATTTCGTTCTGTTGTACATGGGGTCACCATGAGTCAGAGGCTGACTGAATGGCAGCTGAACAACAATGGATGAATACAGTGAGGTAGCGAGTAGTGAAGGGATTGCCCAGTGCCCATGGAGCCAGATTCAGAAGCCAGGCCTCTCAATCCTCAGCACAGATACAGCCTATGTACCTTTAACCAAGCAACCTCAAAGGACTTCTTAAGAGAAATAAACAGTAGATGTGTATTACTGTTATTGTTACTGTGTTATTGGCAAATTTGTAAAATCAGCGGCAATGCAATGTTATCAGTAATGAGTGTGTTTCTGCTGTTAATATTAAGTTGGAGTCCTTTGAGTCATTGGTTCTTCACATCTCAAAGCATCGTCTTGCCTTTTTCGTTACAAATTGAATACAGTTTTACAACATTGCTCGGAGTTAATCTGTGAATAGATATTTTATTGAATGTCTAGCTAAGGAAACCAGACTATAGATATTAAGTAAAGTAACCGAAAAAAGGGGCATTTTATTTCAGCAAGCCCAGACTCTGGGAAGGGAAGGAAGCCCCTGGCCTGGAATGTGAAATGTTCAGGCCCTGACTCTGTGGCTCCTCATTTGCTGCGTGCCTTTGGAAAAGTCCCCTCATCTCTCTGGGCCACAGCTTTGCCAACTGTAAAAGAAGAAGGTGGAACAAATGAATGTAATTTCACTTCCAGTGCCGACAGTGTGTTATAGTTTCGGAGTTTTCATTCCTTCAAGGAGAGTTGCTAAATACTTTATATAATGCTTTCATGCTGTATCTATAAGGCTCCTGGGGACAGATTCCCTTTGTGGTATAGACACAGTGAATCTTCTGGAGGCCGGCAGAAGAGGAAGTTCTTATATTAAAGCCAGAAGTAGAAATAGATTCGTGAGAAATTCTCCCAGACAAGTTATCAAGGCTTTTAATTCCAAGATTCCACTTGAACACCTTTGGCTGTTTATCCATCCCCAAACTGAATATTTGAAAGCTCTACTAGATCGAGATAATGGGCAAGGAAGAAAATTCATGGTGTATTTGACCTCAAACTTTCTTTGGCTGTTAATATTGAAGCAGAGGTGGTGGCCAAAACCAATTGCCATTGAGTCGATTCTTACTCATGATGACTCCATGTGTGTCAGAGTAGAACTGTGCTCCATAGGCTTTTCAATGGCCATTTTTTCAGAAATAGATCACCAGGCCTTTCTTCCAAGGTGCCTCTGGGTGGACTTGAGCCTCCAACCTATTGGTTAGCAGCCAAGCATGTTAACTGTTCGCTCCACACAGGGATAAGGGTGGTGAAATGGGTTTGTACTAGAATTCATGTTCTTGCCTTTCACTGGGTAAAATGGAAAAAAATAATTAAGAAAAATATGATTAAGAATTTTCTTTTCCCTTAGGAAAATCTACATCAGGCTGAAACTTAGATACACAGGGACTGAAAGGGATTTCCAGGCAGTCATTTATTCTGTCCGTCTAATTTTACAAAATTCCACCAAGTATCCCAGTTTTCATTTTACACACGCACACACGGCCTAACTTCACAGACCTGGTGTGTGCTGAGGCTCGAACTCCCAACATCTCCCGGTATTTATTGTCCTGCCATTCCAGGCATGCAACGAGTTCACAACCCACGTGATGAATCTCCTGCGAGAGCAAAGCCGGACCAGACCCATCTCCCCGAAGGAGATCGAGCGGATGGTCAGTATCATCCACCGCAAGTTCAGCTCCATCCAGATGCAGCTCAAGCAGAGCACGTGTGAGGCTGTCATGATCCTGCGTTCCCGGTTCCTGGACGCTCGGTGAGTTATGACGGGCTGTCCTGTCGGCGGGAGAGACATTCATCAGGCTTGGGATCCTTGGGCTGGCCCTCAATAAAGGACCCCCGTTTCATCCTGTTAAACGCTGAGCCCAAAGGAAGCCTAAAGAGAGTTCCTAGGTTGGGTAAAGGAGGGCTGTGGGACTCAATGGGCCATTGGTTTCATACAGCGCCAGGAAAGAGAGTGATTCGTGATTGGAGGGGATGATCTTGATTGCCACTGCTTCTCACTCTGTGTAAGCAGCAAGGACAGCTTAGCTGCAGTGACGGAAATGGCGGGATTAAAGCACTGGGTATCTCCTTTATAGGTGCAGCTTATAACTATGGGCCCTTAGCTGTCTCACTTGCACAGAGAGTGACACTTTTTCCAAAAAAGACGTTCGGTTTGTTGGAGAGGTGGAATCTTTTCCATGCTGTATATAGGCAGAAAGTCCTTTCAGTTCAATTCAACAAATATTTATAAATAGATTACCATGTGCCACCCTCTGGGCTAAGTTTCAGGTGTACAATGATGAATGAGACATGGTGCATTGAAGTATATGGGTGCAAGGAGCTTGTCTGATATGGGCCACATTTCCGTTCAGGGTTGGTGTTTTCTATCTGACATTGCTAGTCATGACTTCACTTGTGAGTTCAAGGCATTCAGTTGAAAAAATCATGAGTAAAGAAGTCCTTTGAAAAAGAAAAAGCAGGGACTAGGGAGTAAGTAATAAGTTCTTAGCACATCTACATTAGCCCAGTGGATTTATGCAAATCCTTTTGATTCCTTTGCTTCTGTTTTCCAGCCTATAACACAGTCATAATCATATCTTTTATATACTCTAGAAGAGTATATTGATATATATTTTGGGAGCATGGTTATCTTTTTTGATCTACAGTTCATCATATTTTTTTAAATGCAGGTGTCATCATTCATTATTTCAATTCCTGAAAATAATCCCAATTCAAGATTTTTATTATCAGAATGTTAGATATATCAGGGGTCAGTATACCATTTCCTGATCTATAGTTTTGCATCTTGTCCGTCAGAAAGAGATTCGCTGCTCTGCTTCAGTTTTTTCACCTCTGAAATCATGTGGGTGGCATTCAGCTCTCTTACCCATATTTTTCTCTCTCTTCGCAAATGTGGTCTTCACAGTCCATGGACCTCGTTAAAACTCCCTGGCGTCTTCTCTTAAACTCCCTTTCATTCGATGTGTTTTAGATCCTATGGAATATGAAATGAGAATGCCATCTAGCAAAATTATCTCTAGGCCAATAGAATTCCCTAGAGTAAGTCAAAACAAAATGAAAATAAAGATAGCTTTTCCCACTATGAGTTGGAATTGCCTTGCAGGCAATGGGTTTCCCAAGTGGGCATGGTGATGGACTGAAGGAAAGCAGAGTCACCCTCTGTGCTTTCCCTTGCCTCACGGCCCGATGCCAACCTGGCTTCTTCAGTGCAGGCCATTCCACACGATGCCAAGCCTGAGTGACTGGTGGCCTCTGTCTGCGTCTTCCCCTGTGCTGCAGCCACCGCCACTCTGCACGTGTTTCTTACATCCCCCTGGCAACTCCCTTAGTTAAAATGCTGGAGTTGGTATTTATGTTGGCAGATCTTGAAAAAAAAAGGAAAGTTGGGCCCAGACTGTGTTCTTTGCGAGAGAGAAATTGGGGAGGAGGGAGGAGCAGAATCATTGTCTGGTCAGATTTCTTCTCGCAGTAATTCTGCTGTGCCCAGTTGAAGGTCAGATTCTGAAAGACACAAAATGAGCTGAGCTTTGTACACATTTCCTTTCGTCTCCACCAGCCTTTGTCTAGAGTGTTCCCGTTGGCACCAGAAAGACAGTCACTTTTAGACAAGGTCTCTTCCCTGCTTTGGTTGCAGCCTTTGAATCATTGCTGCTCAGCCAAGACTGAAAACTAAAACAACTAAGCTATTGTCATTCTTATTACCATTTTAGTTTGGGGAATATTCAGTACTAGTGAAAGACTATAACCCCAAGTGCCAGCCCAAAGCTGAGCAAGTGGCTTTCCCAGCTCACAAATAAATGTTTGCCCAGACCTCCTGATTTGTGGATTTTAGGTCATTGTCTCCAGATCCACTAGCTGTAATTGGGAGAGCTAGCTAAACAAACCTTAGTAAGAAAGATATACTCACTGCTGATATTCATGTTCTACTCTAAACCATGCATCTGATGAGCAGGGCTTCTTCAAAAATTCATGGAAGACAAAATATAACCAAAACCAAACCAAACCCACTGTCATTGAGTCAATTTCGACTCACAGAGACCCTAAAAGACAGAGTAGAACTGCCCCATATGGTTTCCAAGGCTGTAAATCTTTACGGAAGCAGACTGCCACATCTTTCTCCTGCAATAAAATATAAGGGGAACTTTATTTAGTACATAGCTTTTGTAATGTAATAGGTATATAGAATTATTTATTGCTGTGTAATAGATTACAACAAACTTAGCAGCTTAAAACAACACAAATATATTATCTCATAGTCTCTGTGGGTCCAGAGCCTGGGCTCTGCACGGCTGGTTCTCTGCTGTAGTCTCACAAGGCTGAAATTAAGGTGTTAGCTGAGACTTCAATCTCAACTGAGGCTCAGGTCCCATTCCAAGCTCGCCAGGGTGTTGGCAGAATTTGGTTTCTTGTGGATGTAGAAGTGAGGTCCTCTGTGTTTAGAGGCTGCCCCTCTTCATACAGGCAGTTTATAATGTGACAGTTTGCTTTCTTCCTGGAGGCCCATGAGAGAATCTCTTGATATTAAGGCTTTAATCTAATTCCCCTTTTGATTAACTTAAAGCCAACTGACCAGTTACTTAATCACAGGAATGATATCATATCTACAGGTCCCATCCATACTCAAAGGGGATGGGGGATCATACAGGACATGTCCACCAGGAGGTGGGAATCTTGCAGGCCATTTAGAATTCTGCCTGCCGCACACCTACACTGAACACTTGGCCCAACTTTGCCCTGATCAAGTCATATCAACTCTCTCTTCCTTACCTTGACTTAACTGTGCCAGAAAAGTTTAACTGAAAAAATCCATTCATTCATTCATTCAACATTTATCATCACCTGCTGTGAACCAAGCGTCATGCTGTAAAACTTTGTAGGTTGATTACCAGCACTATAAATATATTTTTCTTAGTTGAAAGACAGAAAATGATAGTTTATAAAGACTCTTAAGTGATTTTCAAAGATTAATTTTAACTTGTTTTTGTCTAATATTTTCCTGGAGATAGCAATAAGAACATAAAACAGATGATTAGAAGCACACCTCTGCACTGAGCCCTGAGACGGGATTACTAAACCAAACCTGTTGCCGTTGAGTCAATTCCAACTTGTAGCGACCCTATAGAACAGAGTAGAACTGCCCCATAGGGTTTCCCAGGAGCAGCTGGTGGATTCAAACTGCCAACCTTTTGGTTAGCAGCCATAGCTCTTATCCACTGTGCCACCAGGGCTCCACAAGTATATCTAGTGGTAGCTATATCCATGCCTGGCATATGTAGGGACTCATGAATCTGGAGTGGTGGTTGTTGTAAGAAATCCTAGGGGAGGATCAAGTTTGATGGCCATGGCACTGGTCAACAGTAATTTACTTCCATATGTGATGAGTGGCAGAGTCATATTTTCCAAGGAGCCACTGATGGATATATAGATAAAATGTGGGTCCTATCTTTTAGGAGTTCATCTTCTTGGATGGGACAAAACAGAGACTCTTAGAATTAAACATAAAACTACCTGCAGCTCAAAAGAACTAGATGGTGCCCAGCTCCCACTACTGACCATTCTACTCAGGGCCACAATAGACGGACCCTGATAGAATGGGAGAAAAGTGTGGAACAAAACCTCAAATTCCTGAACAAACAAACAAAAAAACAGACCTGCAGGACTGGTTGAGACTGGAGGACTCCCCAAGACTATTGCCTGGAGACACTCTTCAAACCTTGAGCTGAAGCTAACCCCTGAGGTCACCTTGTAGCTAACTAACAAGTTGTCTTAAAAAATAATATCTCCTATAAGTACTGTGCTCCTTTAGGAAATCACCTCTATGATACCAAACGGTCAATAATTACTTTAAAACAAAGGTGAGAATGTAAGGGGGCTGGGAAACTAGATTAATGGAAACAGAACAACCAAAATGGAAATTATGAGAATCTTCACACACTGTGAAGAATGTAACCATTGTCACTGAACAACTTGTTTAGAAATTATTGAATGGGAACCGAAGCTGGTGTGTAAAACCTTTGCAGAAAACACAGTAAAATATTATTTAAAAAACAAACAAAAAAACCAGTATGCTGCACATGAAGTACATCAGCCAAGCAATGTGGGAGCTCAGAGAAATGGTCCAGGAATGCCACCTGAAGGGGGCAGGGCACAGGAGAGGACAGACCATGCTCAATCTCAGAGGAGCTGATATTTGGCCAAATAGAAGGAATAGCATGAGCAAAGTGAAACAGCATAATTTAACTTCAACAAACGTTGCTTACTTGCGGGCTTACTATGTGTTAGGCATTGGCATTTCAAATATGAGTGAGACACAGCTCCTACCCTTGAGGAGTATACTGTTTAGAGGGGGAGACATATGTAAACCTGTGGCAAATGCTATGGGAGAGACACAGTCAGGCACAGGAGCATGAAAGCCATGGTGTCTTTGGGGAATGGAGAAGCATATGATACGGCTAGATGAAATTATGTAGCACATGTGTAGAATTGGGGGGAAATGAGGCACCAGGGATAGAATGGATCCACTGGAAAACCTTGAATGCTCCAGTGAAGATTTTGACTTCGTCCCATTAAGTGGCAACAATACTCAGCTGTTTAAGGAGGAACTGTAGTAATTTATGGCATGAGTTCTCAAATAGTGCTTCCTAGATTCAGATTCTGGCTACAACTCTGACTATTCTTGTGACCTGGGGTAAGTGGCTTGTTCTCCCCAAGACTCAGTTTTCTTATCCGTGTAATGGATATAATCCTATAAAGCAGAATTAAATAAAATAATATGAAAAGACAGCATAGTGTCTGGCACATAGTTTTCACATAATAATTTAGCTCTGATAATAAGTATTACCCATTGCTGTCAAGTTGATTCGGACTCATAGTGACCCTATAAGACAGAGTAGAACTGCCCCCTGGGGTTTCCAGGGAGCGGCTGGTGGACTTGAACTGCCAACTTTTTGGTTAGCAGCTGAGTGCTTAACCACTGTGTCACTAGGGCTCCGGTATTAGTATTAGTGTTTGCAATTATATATTATATGCAATATAATTGTATAACTATATATATATGATAATTATTATTAATGGTGACATGATCAGATCTATGTTTTAGAAAAAAAATTGCTCTTGTAATTCTCTTGACAATGTGCTGAATTGGGGAAGAAACTAGTTTGGGGACCATTGTTGAGGCCTGTGATCCTCAAACTGGGGGAACACAGTGTAAGTATGAAACACCTTCCCTATTTTATTCAAATATTCAGGGAAAAACAGTTTCTCTTAAGATAAATATTGGTATATTATGGAGTAGACTAAGGTAGGAGGTTTAAATGCAGTTCATGCTTCTGACGGCATCCCCAGGCCTGTGTGTCTGTTCCCTTCTCCCAGTGGGGCTTCTCGGGCACTGTCTCTGGGAAGCACCAGTCTGGAGTTGTATTGTCTAGGATGGTAGCTACTAGCCACGTGTGGTTGTTTGAATTTAAACTTAAATTAATTTAAATAAAACAAAAAATTGGGCTCCTCAGTTACACTAGCCAGTTTTCATCTCCTCAGTAACCACATGTGACTCATGGCTACTGTATTGGAGAGCACGGATTTAGAACACTTCCGTCATTGCAAATAACACTGTTGGACATCACTAGCATAGACCTCGCTATGAAAGGTAGTGGTTCATCTAAACCCATTTCAAAAATAGCAGTGGCAATAAGGATGGAAGAAAAGGGATAGATTTGAAAGAATGGAACTGACAGGACTTGCTTTGGGGCCAGCCACCTGGTCAAGTAAGAGAGCAGGGGCGATCCAAAATCACTCCTGGGTTCAGGCACATGCTGAGTTCTCAAACATTAGAATGAATGGATGAAAAAGCAAGTTAATAAATACTATGAACTGTGTCTGTGGTGATGTGATCATGTAACACAGGTAACAAAGAAGATGGATGTGATTTGAGTGAAAGGTGATACTAGTTTTGGAGTTACAGTTTGTTTGAAGGTGCCTGGAGTATCCAGTAGGAAATGGGGCAGCGGCTCTTAGGAGATGCATTAGAGCAGGAGACAGCACCCTTGCAGGTAGCAGTATATGTCCAATACCTATGCTTTTCACCATCAAGGGTCTTTTATAAGAAATTTTCCCTGTGTGCTTTGAAAGGTTTTTGTCACCACTCTCCTCAGACATTGTGTTTCTCCAGTAATAATTGATCAGCTTCTGCATCTTAAATTAAAGACCTAGATGCCTGACCATCAAAGCTTCTGATTAGCCTGAGATCACAAACATTAGTGCACCGAGCCAATAACACTTCCAGCAAAGCAACGAAACCACAGGTCTTAGTTAGCTCGAACAAACTTAACATCAGAAAATCAAAAATACCCATAGCCATCGAGTCGATACCAACTCATAGTGACCCTGTAGGACAGAGTAGAGCTGCCCCATAGGATTTCCAAGGAGCGGCTGGTGGATTCGAACTGCCAAGCTCTTAACCACTGTGCCACCAGTGTGTTGTTTCCACCAGGCTTCTTGAAATTCTGAATAATCCTGATACTAGGATTTCAGAGGCCCCAGGTTGGGGCAGCCACTGAAAGAGGTGATAAGTGAGGCCATCAGAGTAGATAAGACCACGCAGGGGAGATTGCACAGCAAACCAAGAAGAGGGCCAGGAACAGCTGTCTGCACCATCCCCATACCACCAGCTCATTCCAGAGAGGTGTCCTTTGAGCTCAGTTGGAAGAGTCCCAAAAACTACACTGTAATGCTAATACAAACAACTGAATGAATGAACTGAGGCTCTCCCAATTAGGGGAGTCTTCAGGGTCTGGTTCCCTAGGCCTAAAACAACTGTCTCCTTCAGGCACAGAAGCATCAGCTACAGGTAAATAAAGACTAACTAGCCTGGTGACCGAGTCAGCCACTTGGCCTTCTTCCTCGTATTCCCATCATGCAATAGCTTTAAGCACGTGCCTACTTTTTACTTGGGCTTTTTAATCCAGTCTGTCTAATTTATAATGCAGGGTGACCCAGAAACTCAGCATGATTTGGGAAAGTGACTTGGGCTTGGCATAATCTGGACAGATGTGGTTAATACCTATGGACAGATGGAGTTCATCCGGTAAAATCAGGCACTTTATTGTGCTAATTAATCCAAGTGGGACCCTGGAAATACAATATTAGCTGAATTTCCTGTCTAGCAAGGCAGTCGGTGCTTTCTGGAGGTTAAATTGGGAAATTCCACATCCTTGCATAACCAGAGATGTTCTGGAAATTTTTTCACATCCATACAGAAACACTTTTGATAAAAGCAAGAAGGGCAAAAGTGCTAATTGAGCTAATTTAAAAATGGCAGCCCACGATCTTGTGGAGGGACCACCAGCGTCTGCAGTGAGCCTGGAACCCGTATGCAACTCCCCCAGCTAGCCACAGGCCTTAGCTGTAAGGAGGCAGTAAGAGATTCTCACTTTAAATTAGTTCAATTAGCACTTTTTTTTTTATAAGGCAGAGAAATGCTTTTATTTAAAAAATGATTTTCTTCCTTTCATCAACCTGTGTAATAAAAAGATGTCTGTGGGCTTTTGTTTTACCATTTAGCAGCTGTTCTTGCTTAAGAAAGTGCCTCTTCTCTTCTTTTGAGGGAGGTCTAGCAGTCAAGGGGTTAATTTCAGTCAGCCCCTTCCTTCTTACCCAGACACCTTTTTAAAATGTTGCATGCCTTTAAATGGGAGAAGAATCGAGAGAAAATGATATGTTAATTTTAATTTAGGGCTACAGAGACTCTGTGTAATTGCCAGGAGGGAATTTGTATAGAAGAAAAAGGCTGGGTTTTATAGTCAGGCTAACCTGAATTAATAACTTGGCTCTATAATGTACCAGCTGAGTGACTTTTGAACTCATTTCTCCATCAGTAAATAAGAATAACCATATGTACCTCACTGACTGTTTAAACTGAATAACTTGAGTTGATTGCTATGAGGAGTAAGGCCCAGTGCCTGAACCCTGGTAGTAAGAAAAGCTACCATTGCTGTGTTCTAGCATTTGCCACACACCAAGCCTCATTGCAACCGATTCCAACCCTTCAACTTTCAGTTGAAGAAGGTGAGGCTGAGAGAGGCGCCCAACGTCACCCAGCTGGTATTCAGTTGATCCAGGATTCAAAAGCAAGATTGCCTGAATTTTGAAATGTCATGCCACTCACCGTGGTGTAAATATCTGCACAGCCTTCTGTCCAGTAGCTGGACGGTGCACCATGAAATATTTAACAAATGCTTATAACAATGGTTTTGGCATCTAGCCCCGTTTTGGGATTTCCTCTAATTTACCTTTTGCTCAAAAACTTGTCTTTTTCCCAAAGTAGATCCTCTTCTCTCCCTTTTTACATTTACTTGGTAAAACTCTTTTTGTTGTGCTTGTTTCCTTTCTCTTAGGCGGAAGAGACGGAATTTCAATAAGCAAGCTACGGAAATCCTGAATGAATATTTCTATTCCCATCTCAGCAACCCTTACCCCAGTGAGGAAGCCAAAGAGGAGTTAGCCAAGAAGTGTGGCATCACAGTCTCCCAGGTAAGGGACCCTCAACAGGTGCAGCCTTAGCCTGACCAGGGAGAGCCTCATGGCAGGATCTTGGAGGTCTTGCTTTACTGAATGTAAATGCCTTTCGAATTTCATCAGCTAAAGTCTTAAAATGTCAAGGTAAGCACATGATATGTATATAAAAATTTCCAGGTAAATACCTGGTAAAACTTGAGAGGGACCAACAAGGGTAGGAGAAGAATAAGTAAAGTGTCAAAACGGGTAGGGTTCTTCCCACTGAGCAATCCCTTGCTTCAGATGGGTGAACTTTTCTTAGATGGACTCAGAAAGCTATTTGCGTTTCTCATGCTGTTTTCTCAAGCATAGTTAATTCCTTAGCCCATTTTTTGCCCAACCCAGGGACTTTAAAAGTCAGTGAATGGTTCTAGTGGTTATGTAGCCTTTTAAATGAAAAGGCCTTAAATGTCTTCTCTTGATGCACTGACTCTCTAACTGATGGAGTGTAGGAATTTTAACATGTCACTATGATTACATTGGGATGGTTGCTCAAAATGTCACTGAGTACCCCTTCCCCTAAAGAGCAGTAACAATAACAGCTTCCTGTTGACTTGGAAAAGTACACAATATAAGATTTTTATAGACCTGAAGCCTTCAACATTAATGTGAAGTAGAAGGTTAGACAATATTAATGTTTGTACATTCTGTCCACCAAACTTTTTATTCAGTCTGAACCTCTATACCATCATTGAATCTCTAGTCGAGACCAGTAGTGATAGTTTTGAAATCCAACAGAAAAAATTCTCCTGAGAAGTATGTCACATGCAAGAAAACCAAATATACTGGTATTCCCATTAAAAGTAAGGGGATTGGGATAAGAGGCTTGTTCTAGTGAGAAGCTTCACCTAACGTTTTCAAAAGAAATAGTTGCTGTTTTGTATCAATTGAGCATCTGTACTTCCTTGAATTGAATCTTGGCTCCTGTTTTTTCCCCACAGGTTGCTAATCTCATAAACTTTTGTTTAGCTAAGCAGAATTAGGTCTAGTCAGAACTTAGAACTCTGCAAAGGTATTTACAATGAAGGGATTGCCAGGGCCTCCCCAACAGATGTGGGTGATTTTGCAGCAGCCTTGGAAACATCCTTTCACGTAAGGCAGAGTGAATTGACTCCTTTTTAACTCACAGCTTCCTAAGGTGTTTCCACCTCGTTGAAGGTCATGTCCAGTATTGACAACCCTGGGAAGCAGAACTTTGGGGGTGGAACTCAAGTGGCCCAGTTTTGACTAAGACTCTAATAACCCTTCTAGTGCAAATGTAGACACCTTGTCCACACACATATACACACACAAAAGGAATTGTGGTTTTTTGGTATTTGCTGTAAGTTCAAGGAATATTTCCAGGTATATAAGTCAGACATCACTAACTCACAAATCAGTGAGTTTCAGCCATGGAATCTTCTGCCTCTAAAGTAGAATTAAATAACTATATTGCCTAATTTCCAAATCCCTACTGAAGTTAAAATAAACTGTAAAGAAACAAAATGTGTATTATATTTAGATAAAAGGTGGAATCCTGGCCTGGTCCCACAACCTTTCCTTCTTTCTTTATGGCAACTCAGTGCACAAATAGTCTGTCCATTAAAATGATTATTTACTTATTGTGTTACCTTTCCCTTTCTTCCATGCACCCCAAGGCCATGCCATTCTTCCCTCCCCCTCACGTCGCTCCCTCCCAACAACAACTAAGTTGTTCCACCTCTACCAAAAAGGTCCCAAAGGGAGACAGACTGGTATGACATATAGAGATTTGGCAAGGACCTTGCTTTTGCCAAGAGTCAACGGTGGGAATTTTAGGAAACTCACTCTTTTTGAGTCTTGGTTGCCCCAACTGTCAATCATGGTTTGTTTGACCACATGATATATTAAATTTCCCCTAGTTCCCAAATCGAGTGGATGCCTTTTGGGCTCTATTTTTCTTGTCTTTTTTTTGTTAATTATCACCCCTCCTTGAAATTCTCCTAGCTTGGCTTTCTTGACACTGTTCTTTCTGGATTTTCCTTCCTCCTCTTAGGTTACTCCTGCGCAGTCTTCTTCGAGGGTCTATTGTCTCTACCCGTTGCAATTCCGACTCATAGTGACCCTATAGGACAGAGAAGAACTGCCCCATAGGGTTTCCAAAGTTGTAATCTTTACCGAAGCAGACTGCCACATCTTTCTCCCACAGGTCAGCTGGTGGGTTTGAACTGCTGACCTTAACCACTGCTTAACCACTGCACCACCAGGGCTCCTTCTGTTGTCTCTAAACAAAACAAAACAAAGCAAAAAAAAACCCGTTGCTGTCAAATTAAATTGATTCCAACTCATTGCGACCCTATAGGACAGAGTAGAACTGCCCCATAGGGTTGGTTTCCAAGGCTGTAAATCTTTACAGAAGCTGTCACATCTTTCTCCTGCGGAGTGGCTGGTGGGTTCAGACTGCTGACCTTTTGGTTACTAGCTGAGTGCTTAACCACTGCGCTACCCTAAAAGTGTGGTTTTTCCTTAGCCCTCTTTTCTTCATGCCTTAGCCAATGGTTCTTAACCTTCTTTTTTTTTTTCTTTTTTTTGAGTCACGGATTCTTTTGAAATCTACTAAAAGCTAGTGATTCCTCTCTTGACTCATAACAAACATATGCTCATACACCAAAATCCGTCTGAAATCCATCTGTTGACCATCCTCTTCCAAGATCCCTGAAGAGCCCTTCCTCTATACCAGTGCTGCTTGAAGTATGGTCCGCAGATGACAGCATCAGCATCACATGGGAGCTGCTTAGAAATGCACATTGTTAGGCCTCACCCTAGTCCTGAGTCAGAATCTCCAGGGTGGGGCCCAGGAATCTTTTCTTTACAAGGTTTCCATGCACACGTAACTTTGACACCACTGTTCTACACACTTTATCTAAGTTATCTCTTCATGCTCACAGCTGCAAATATACCCTCTTGCATATCCCACATGGATTCCTGGTGGCGTAGTGGTTAAGAGATCAGCTGCGAACCAATTTTACCAGCCTCTCCTTGGAAACTCTATGGGGCAGTTCTACTTTATCCAGTAGGGTCGCTATGAGTCGAAATCGACTCGATGGCCATGGGTTTGGTCTTTGGTTTGTATTTCCACATGAGTCTCTCTCTCTGAGCACCAAAGTCATATGTCTTATTAGGTACTGGATTTTGCCATCATTCTGCCCACAGGCTCTTCCAACATAATATGTTCAAAATGTGAATCAAATTCTACCGACAACCTATTATTCCTCCTATATTACCTATCTCAGACTTTGTCATCTGTGTATGCCCAGTGCCTACCACATAGTAGACCATTAGTACATGACTGTTGAACAGTGAGAAAATTTGTGAAAACACTACTTCTGTACATTGTCCAATGTGTATGACATCACCTAATGAACAATGTAGGAAATGCCTAAACTGACCTCCGGTCTTCCCTACCAGTTCTCTTCTGACTTAGAAGGGAATCATTCTTACAACATTTCCCCTCTCCACTCCCTTTCTTCTCATTGTATTTCTACATGTAGCTGGTTTAATTAGAGCCCTGGTGGTGCAGTGGTTAAGTGATACAGCTGCCAACCAAAAGGTCGGCAGTTCAAATCCACCAGCTGCTCCTTGGAAACCCTATGGGGCAGTTCTGCTCTCTCCTATTGAGGGTTCTTTTCTCACTTGAGAGTTCCCCCAAACTACCTTCATCTTTTCTCTTTCTTCCAACTCACTCAGTTACCTCAGAAAAATCTCCCTGCATCTGTTTCTTCTCCCATCCCAGTTATAAGTCAAAAAGCAACCATAATTATGATTGGTTAGTATAAATAGTGGAAGTTGTATCAAGAGAAACGTGAGTTTTGAGGTAAAATTAGATATGCAGTGGTCCTTAAGTGTACCCAGAAGTTCCCTTTAGAGCTTCTTCCTCCTCCGCTTTAACTCTGTTTTATCCTGTGGGTACCAGCATTTATAATAAAGCAATTTCTTATTAAATTTTATTTTTTTCTCTCATTTACTAATATTGCAATGATATGGCTTTTTTTTTTTTTTTTTTAAATAGCAAAGGCATGGTATTTCTACTGTGTTATAAGCTGTATAGGTCACTGACGGCTAGCTTTCTAAGTTTTAACTTTGCTAATACATTTAAAAAATAAGCATAGTTTTGCCAGAGTTGTCTCTATATGCCATTTTTAGGGGATAAATATAAATTCTTCATAAGCTATGATATGTGTGTTAGCAACTTCCCCTTCCTTCACAAAATTCATAGTTTGTTTTGTAATTATATAAAACCCACAACATTTGAGTTTGGAATCACATCTGGAATACAGGGTTTAAAACTTTCCTCCCCAGAGCAGGAATTATGGAAGTGAATCTTGAATTTAACTGCGTCTCCACTAGTGTCTGGCAGAGGTCTTGGTATAAAGGGAACAGGGGCATAGAATCAAGCCAGGACAGCTGCTGCGAGCCACATGAAGGCAATAAATTAACAAATGAAAGTAAATTAGGTTGATTTTGTTTATTGGATTTAACATTTAAAGCCTGGAATTTAAAAGAATAATCAGTTGTGTGCTTCAATTTTCCTTATGTAGATAACACCAAGCTTTGTGCAACACGCTTAGTAGAATTTGGTGGATTGAAATGTATTAATCCTAAAGTCTGTAATGAAATACAGCTAAGAATCTAAGTCCATGTTAAAGGCATTCGACTTGTAAATTTGAAGTTCATCCATCATGTCATAGGTTGATATAGATTTATATGGATATTTAAATGTCTGTGTAGTATTTTGCTTGCCCAAAGTCAACTTTAGCATTGATAAGTAACAGGCATTTTTCCTAAAATGTCATGTTTATTTTAGTCATATGCATAGAAGGTAAGCAAATTTACAATGTATTCCCTAAATTAAAAGGGTCTTTGCTTAAATGAGGGAGAAAGATGTGGCAGTCTGCTCCTGTAAAGATTACAGCCTTGGAAACCCTATGGGGCAGTTCTACTCTGTTCTGTAGGGCTGCTATGAGTCAGAATCAGCTTGAAGGCAATGAGTTTGGGGTTCTTTTTTGTTTAGTTTAAATGAGCATCTCCTTTGTAGGAAAATTGTTATCAAATGATTTTGCTAAATTTTGGTTATATTGAGCAAGAGAATGTCATTTTATGCAGTTGCTGCTTTCGAAGCTCTTAATTCAAATCTTTCAGTTGATTTTGTGAAATCCTAAATAGGATGACTCATTAGCTGGCCTCCTTAACCCTTCCTTTTCTTCTGCAAAGTCTGTGAAGGATGACATAGTAACATTCTCATCTTCTCCTAAACTGCTCTAGGTATCAAACTGGTTTGGAAATAAGCGAATCCGGTACAAGAAGAACATAGGTAAATTTCAAGAGGAAGCCAATATTTATGCTGCCAAAACGGCTGTCACTGCTACCAATGTGTCAGCCCATGGAAGCCAAGCTAACTCACCCTCAACTCCCAACTCAGCTGGTTAGTTTTTTGTTTGATTTGGTGGGATTGTTCCTCATATTTGTACTTACTTTTCCTGCATTGGGATTTTAATTCTTTGGGTTTTTAATTGGTTGATTTATGTATTTGATTGTTGTCTTTTTTGTCGTTGGTGCCATTTTGGATTTTGCATTTTATTTCCAAAGAGCAATGTGTTCTTGTATTTATAAGATGGGATTGTCTGGAAGTTTGCACTGATGTATTCTGTCAATTTGAGACAGAAGCAAATTGGTTGGTATGGATGAGAGAACATCTAAATTCTCTTTTCAGAGGTACCAATAAATAAACGGGATACAGCGCTTAGAGATAGTCCCTTGGGGTTCTGTCATTAGGTCTGTTTCATATAAAGTTTACCTCCTTGTCTGTTTTGTGGTTTCTATCATATAATGTCTGGGTCACCTGCTAGTGTACATTCTATGTGGGGTTTTCACTCTACTACCAAATATCCTACTAGAGTGTTCTGATGTGTAGAGCTAGGCTACGAATACACACACAAACACACACACAATGTTTTTTATTGTTTTATTTTGTTGGGTTTTTTTACTTACTATTTTATTTTATTGCATTTTGTGTTGTGCATGTGTTTATAAACTGTAAAAAAAATCGTCAGTCATTGATTGAAATTATTCAGATTCCAGTTGTCATGTTATACTGTCAGTCGTACTACGTCCCAAGTTTTATTTTAGTGAATACGTATTATATCACTAATTTCATAGTTTAGCCTAACATAATATATTTTTGGATGTGCTTTGTGCCATCAATTCTGAATTTCCACTTGTGAAAAACATAAGTCAATAATCCAAGAAATATAAACTTAGTGTCTGTATGCTATAGGAGTCATGTTGGTATACCTTTCTTTTTTTATCGGTAAGGAAAAAACAAAAATATTTCCTTATTAAATAAGCTTGACCTCAGATTATGGTATTTTGTCCATAACGTACACGATGCGTTGGTTTTGGCTGTGGGCTGCACATCCAAGAAAATTGATGACTGCAACTTTAAAGGGTCACAAATTTAAGGATGTTAGATCATAATAGGATTAAGAATCTAATTTCTAACATTTCTGAGGGCATATGGTGTCTTTGTCTCCAAAGCTTGTTTGTCTGCTAAAATAAGTTTCTTTCTACCTTATGGTGGCTTTTTATTGGAGACATGCAGGGCTCCACCCACTAACGTCTTCTGTGAGTTTTTGGATGCGTTAATTTGTTATCATAAGGTCCTCCAAGTCAGTAGACTGTACCATCATAGCCTTCTTTTGTTTAAATGGAATCATGCGTGAAGAGTGGGCTGGGCGTTGTAAATATGGATATGGTAAGACAATGTAGGATTCGATCCAGTTATATTTTTCTCAGCATTGCAGGTTGGGTTACTATGAGGAGCGTGTTTGTTTCTTTCTTTCTTTTCCCATCATGGTTGATTGACAAAGGATCAAGGCCAACAGGTCCAATAACCAGAGAGTTTCCTTCTTCCTCATCTGGTCAATTATTAAGCATTTCAGATCCAGAAACACTAGTTGAATTGTACTGCTAGGCAGACATTTTCACCTGTCTCTTTGGAAGAAGTACAATTCTGTCAGCATTAGTCGAAACACACTCAACACTCCTGCAAAGGTTATCATAATGCAAAACAGATCTCAAAATGACTTTTTTCTGTCCCCGATATATCTGCATCACAGATGGTTTAGGATGATTTATGACTAGTCCTCACAGGGGCCCTGTGGCCTCCCTTCATCACTAAATCCGTAATTTTTATTCTTTCATAAAGCACGGAAAAAAGAGAAGTAAGCATTTTAACCCCCTGCTCCGTGTTTAAGAATTACGTTAACTCTTGAGGAATGTCATTCTATGATTACAGTTTTCTGAGGAATGTTTCTGGTGGCTTGAACTTCATGTGACTGTTCAGAGCACAAAGTAAATTGTCATGGAAAATTTGAGCTAAGCCTTCCAGTTGTGCTTAAGTTATTAGAAATAATGTGCAGAGGAACCCCTCTATAGTGCTTTTCCTAAAGGCGAGACAAAAGGTAATGATATTGTATGTATGCAGTAGATTAAAAAACGAAAAGCATCTTAACAGGAAAAGTTATAAATGGACCGTTCTGTATTTTCTTTTGCCCTTAACATAACCCAGAGCATTGCTCAGATAAAATGAGAACTTAAAAATGTTCCAACTTTTCACATAGGGTCTTTACTGTGCTGTGTATTAGCTCTTCATTAATTTCACAAGATAAATAATAATTGAAATAAATATCAAGTTTTAAATAAGAGGTTAATTGGCAAAAAAATGTATTTTGATTGAGTTTGATATCTAGAATTCTGGGACCTGGGAACTTTTGTATCCTCAGATTGAAGCAGAATTTTTTTTCCAGAAGCTTTACTAAACAGAAATACTCTTTTCTACTGCAAGGAAGATGCTTTGCAAGTACATTTTCTGCTTAGAGGATTCTGTGTGAAGAGCAGTACTTTAGTACCTTTACCTAGAACATTTTTAAATATTCTTCTTTGTTGATACATGCCTTGTCTCCCATTACCTTAAACGTAATTCAGAAAAGTCACTTGGGGCTAGGCCCTGTGACAGATTAGCAAGCATTTGGAGACACTTAGCCCGCTTCACTTTTTATACCAGCAGAATTGGGCACAATGTAGCAAGCAAAAAAATAGAAGGAAGGAGAGACAATTAAGTTTTGAAAGACAAAAGCAAAAATGTGGGTGAAGAACGTCAAAATGTTCAGCCATGAAAGTTTTCCCTCCAGCACTAGTCAGCAGAAAGTCTTTGTACATATTTTTATTTCACCCCAACAGGAAATTTGGTATTTTTCTGAGTTGGTGGAAGGTTACCATATTAAAACTCCTGGACCTTAACTTCTAAGAAAAGTTTGCGTATAGTACACACAAACCAATTGCCGTCAAGTCGATCCCAACTCACGGCGACCCCATGTATGTCAAAGTAGAACCATGCTCCATAGGGTTTTCAGTGGCTGATTTTTCAGAAGTAGTTTGCCAGGGCTTTCTTCTGAGGCACCTTTGGATGGACTCACACCTCTAGCCTTTTGATTAGCAACCAAGCACATTACTGTTTGCAGCACCCAGGGCCTCCATAGTATACACAGCTGGAGAGGAAGTAAGGCATCCAGAGAGGTTGACTGGCACTTCTAGTAAATCCTCAGGAAACCTTTTAATTCTGTTTTTTAAAACCAAGTGAAAGATTTTATTCCATTGATGTTTTCTCTCATGTTCTTTCTTCCTGTTTCTCCCCTTTATTCCTAAGTGCAAAATGGAAGCTTGGCCTCCTGAGATTAGATTTCTCCAACCTTGACATGCACACCTATCAAAGGGGTTTCATATTGAACCAGACAACCCTTCACTCTTTCACTCTGCCCTGAGTAGAAAGTAACAATGATTCTGGTAGCTTAACAGGGGAAGAATCATGGGAAACCAAACATGAGACATCATTAAGCTTGCATCTCGCTATAGGCTCTATCCTTGGAGCCTCCAAAAGATATGGGAGTCTGAGCTGATCAGGATGGTTAGTTTATCTACCCGGAGCCTCGATGTCTAAATTAGAAAAATGAGGCCAAAACTTGTCATGCCATTGCTTCATTAAAAGATTATGAGGAAACGTGAGTTAATACTTTTAAACACTTGAGTTCTTTGTGAGGAAGAAGTAAATCCATACTTGCTCTAGGTCAGTGGTTCTCACCGTGGGACGATTTGTCCCCAAGGGGACATTTGGCTATGTCTGGAGACACTTTTGGTTTTCACAATTTAGTGTGCTGGGGTTAGGGGTGTAGTGCTACTGGCATCTAGTGGATAAGGCCGGGGATGTGGCTAAACATCCTACAATGCATAAGACTTTCCCCCACCAAAGAATCATCTGACCCAAAATGTCAATAGTGCCAACATTGAAAAACCTGCTCTAGATTTAGGTTTTATCATTATTATTCTAGTTTTTGAATTATGTCCTAAACCAATACAAGTCTTCTGAAGACTCTTTAGAGTAATGTATTCTTTGGAAAAGTGTCTTATGAAAATGGGTGTTAACACATCTCACATCATCGTGTTTGCCTGAGCAAATTTGCTAGAATCCATAGGTGATCCATTATTGCTTTTCTGTCTAGTTGAGTGCAGATTTAGCTCTGTACATGCCCAAGATGTCTGGGTGGCACTTAAATGAGCCACTAGCCTCCCTTCCCAAGTCACATTTGGAACCTTTTAACTGACAAGTGCATCTGGAAATGTGCTTCTCTTAATGGCTTATTTACAACAACCTGCAGGTAAGGTGACTGAATGACTTTCTCGGCCAACCACGTCATTCTGTTTCAGCTCTCAGAGAATTCCACAGTACCTCCAACAGAGCGCATTCAGTATTTGACTATGAATTATGCACTTCCCTGGAGGTTATCCATTCTGAGTTAGGTTCTTTCCAACTTCCAGTACCCGATGAAGGACATGGCTATCTTCCCCTCGTTATTTAAATTTTTTGTGCAGACTTTTGTCTGCTTTATTGTGGTATTAGTGGCAACCTGATCTCTTGCTCAAAGCAATCACTGCCTCTATAGACACTTACCAGAAGTGAGAACCATGGGGGTGTTCTACATGGGTGTACAGAGACAATAAAACGCTGAAGCAGCACAGCCAAGAGCACAAGGGACTATTCCTGCAATTACTGCTGATACAAATGCATTTGTACAGGAAGTACATTTATATGCGCATATTTGTCTCTGTGTACATTAAGCAGCCAGACATATTTACAGTTTATCTATGCACATATATTTTTTTAAATCATCTCTGTCAATTGCAGTGTATATCTTGTAAATGGCACATTCTATGCCTCCATGGTTTCATTGATGCCATGCTACTTGGCATCAGGGTAGGCCTTTGGGGGTTTCTTCCATTTCACAGTTTGTGTGCTAATTTCCAATAAACTATCAGCCAAGCATGTAGCATGTGTGTTTATTACATAGTATTTGATTGGGCGACAAAATACCTGGGCTTCAAACTGAACATTTCCAGGAAAAAAAAAATTGCTGATGTGCCATATAAAGAATTATAATTCGGGTTCTTAGAGGTGACTGTTTCTTGGTTCTGATGACGTCTAAATATGACCATGCATTTTAGCACTTACTACGAACTGGCTTTTATTATTTAGGTTATAGCTCTGTGATTAAAAAAAAAAAAGATTTCCGTAACTAGTGCATAGAGGCCTGGGCGTTGTATATCTTAACATGAGAATGTGATCAGTGCCACACAGTTCTTCGTCCTTGTGTCGGGGAAAACAGTTTCAAATGTGTATGCCACATTCATGGAAGGAAGTTCAGGCCAAAGCTTTCCCCCTACTAAATGGGTGTAACCACACCTGGTCAGATTATTCGCCTATTTTGCCAAGACCCAACTTTTCTAATTCCTTTCAGATACACTAGACTGAGAAATGCATACCGGATGAGAAGGGATATGTTGTTGAGAAGTAGAAGATGTCATAGTTCTTGGGTTAATGCTTATGTCTCCCTACTTCCCCAAAAAAGCATTTCTTTTTTTTCCTGTGAGAGAGGAGCAAGAAAGGAGTTAGAGTGAAGGATAGGTCTATGTCGCAACATTGTTAATTAGTCCCTTGCATTTGGACGAACATCCCCAAATAATAAAGAGAAATGGAGATACTTCTTAACTTAGGATCGTCCCCAAGTTAGTATATCATCTGGTTCCTCTAAATGGCTATTGCCTTTGAAGTATGAGGAGCCTATGGATAGATAAGCACAGAGCGGAGTAGACTTAGAGTTTGCTGCCAGTTAAGTGATCCTTCTATGGGGAGAAAAAAAAAACTCTTCTGCTTAGCTGCAGCTCTTCATGTGGAGCAGGGCAGCTGTCCAGGAGAGCTCCAGTCTTCATCTTGGGAGAAAAGAAGGAATGTGTCAGAGCTGAGGCATGAATCACTGTTGGGCGATTCCACACAGATGATGGCTGTCAGAATATGAGGGCCAGAGAGCAATTTGAGCAATGTAGGGTTGGAAACAATAGAATGGAACTGACCTGGGTCCCTAAGGTCTCTCCTTTCCAGGCTAACGTCACGTTTTAACCAAACCTTGCACGTTGAGCTTCCTTTCCTAATGCGCTGAGCTGCACGATGACTTCAGAATAGTAATAATATCGAGCTTTTCCACCACCGTGTGTTTAGGTTGAAGGCAGGCTAGGTTTAACACAGTAGAACCAGGGGGTGATGCCAGGATAGACCTACCGGCTCTTTGTGGCTTCTTCTCTGTGAGGCAAAAGCAGATGATTAACTGCCCTCAGGAGGCCCACTGATTATTATTATCAGTATTTCATATTTCATGCATGCACGTGAATCCCTGGGCCATTATTCTCTTTCATCTTCCTCCGTGATGCAGGTAGCAAGGAAGGATAGACGATCTTATATATTCTTGCAGTTATCAAGGCTCTCCTAGGACCCCACCTTCTTGCTAGAAATCAGGAATATCAACGGACTCATATCACAGGGCCAGCCCTATGTGTGACAGCATCTTTATGCACTCCATGAGGAGCACCTGTGGCTCCTCACATGCGTATAGACGAGTTTGGCAGTAGCATATTTAGAATCCAGCTGGATGACTCATGAGCTCCACTGTGGTGGCAGGAGCCTCAGTGACCAGCCCATATTCCTCAGCTTCTGTTCCCCTGGCCAACACTAGAATTGCAAAGCCATTAAAGAGAGATCCTTGGTCTGGAGACTGTCTCCATTCCAAACAGACTAAGTTAAGAGAATAAATATTCCCTTTCTCAGCTTGAAGTTGCTAAGGGGAAGCAATCCTATTGGCAACACATAGTAAGGTGTGGCTTCACATAACATGAACAATATGCACCCCTTATTGCTTGCTCTGTTCTTCATGCTACTAACCAGACTCTGTTGATGTTGTTTTCATTTTCGTTTTTATTTGGGGGGTTGCTTTGCATGTCATCCCTCCTCTTGCCTGTTAGTTGCAGAGGTTGAGCCTTTTCCCTTCTGTGATTCAGGTGCCTCACTCTTTCCTTTCCAGGTTCTTCCAGTTCTTTTAACATGTCAAACTCTGGAGATTTGTTCATGAGCGTGCAGTCACTCAATGGGGATTCTTACCAAGGGGCCCAGGTTGGAGCCAACGTGCAATCACAGGTAGGGACCCAGCCAATGTGCCGCCAGGTGAACGCATTAGAGTCCAAGAGCCCTCAATCCTATTGGCGCTTCCCACTCCTGTCTAGAGAGAGAGAGAAGAAAACAAAAAAACAAAACAGTAACAAAACCTTTCCAACAACCAAAACCAAACCAAAACAAAGACAACCATTGTCATGGGGAATCTCGTCCACACTTTGTGAATGCATTTGGCTCTGGCTTGTCAGTCACACTAGGAAGGCAGGAGAGGAGCAGCAAGGACAGGTGAAGTGACCAAGGTGTATCAGGCAAGTGGAAACAGCATGTTCTTTGTTCACTGAAGGGAAAGGAAGGAACTTGGTCCATTGTCTCACTTTCCAGGTCTCCTGCTGGTTTGTTGGTTTCCTACACTCAGTATTTGCCAGATAAGGATACAATGAATGAGTAGGCAAATGGATTTTGCTTTTATTTTAAGCTTTAAAAACACCCAGCCAGGTTGACTAAACTCATCTCAGTCATCCTTGGAGTCAAGGGACTTGGGTTTCTGGTGATGAGTCTAAGTCCATGTTGAGAAGCAAAAACTCAAGTCATGTAGTAGGAAACCTCAGTATCTTCATTAAGCAGATCGCCTCCACTCCACCTCAGGAAGTCATCCTACTGTCTTCAGCGTGAAGCATGATGGGAGAGGGCAAAGCAGTATGCTCTGTCAGAATGATGAGGGAAGTTCTGAGCCTTGTCAACCCAGTTTCCCACCCTGCATGTGGAACAGGAGGCATTACCTGCCCAGAACAGACCAACTGGTCAATGATTCAGCCCCTTGCTTAGGAAACCTTGCCTGGAAATAAGTGTGTGGTGACATGGACAGATTTTGGTCAAGTGACTATACAACTGGCCCTCATTTAAATCCTTCAAAAAACAGGGTCTTCAGTCACATACCTCTCCCTCTGTGAGATGGCTGCCCCAGTCTCATCGAAACAGAACTTTGACTTTTATAGGATACCCAGCAAAGGAGAAGCCATATAGGATGATCCATAGGGAAGAAAAACAGGGAGAAGGGACAATTTCTTCACTCCCTCCCCTCGAACCCCCTCTACTCACCCCAGTCCCTGCCACCTCCAGCACCATTCTTGAATTAGTTTCATTGTGGGGAATCCCAGCTTTCTTTTTACCATTTTACCACCTTTCTCACTGAACTAAGAACTGATCATGGGTTTGGCATGTAGAGAGGGCCAGCCTCCTTCTAATCGACCTTCCCCAGGAAGAGCATCTCCAACATGATGATATTAATTTGACGTGCCCAGATGGTAGCCTGTATGATGATGATCTGCTCCCTTTCCCTGCATCTTCCTGACTAATTTCTTCTCTGTTGTTCATCTGTTTAGGTGGATACCCTTCGCCATGTTATCAGCCAGACAGGAGGATACAGTGACGGACTCGCAGCCAGTCAGATGTACAGTCCGCAGGGCATCAGTGTAAGAAAACAAGGCCCCCCCACCCCTTTGTTTTTATTCTATCACTACCAATTATTTTAAAGCCATAGGGCTTGGAATGCCACTTAGTAGGACTTGCCTTAGCTTTACGGTCACTTAGTTTCTTGTGTCTGTATCAGTCACGCCATCGGCAGCATTCTACCCACAAAAAACGTGGCGATTGGGCAGGCTTCATGCAGGCAGCTGACGTCTAGGGCTGTCAGACGCAATCAGCGTTTGCATGGCACCTGCGGCCACATGCACTCAGCTGAGAGGAGCTGCTAAACAGGTGACACCTAGTACAACAGTGGTAGGAACGTCATCACAAGCTGGGGCCCGGAAACCTGGGGAGGAAAACCAGTAGCCAAAATCCATTGCATCCAGGTCTGCGGTCTTTAAAAAAACAACTTTCTCCAATCTGTCTATGGACAACAACAACAAAAAATTAGCTCAGATGCTGAGTATGTTGAAGGGATGGGGAGGGGTGCAGACCATCTTCTACTTGTTCTTGGGTGCGCTGGCGGCTCCTGACTAGCATGAAAATTCATAGCGACAAGCTATGTTGCACAGAGTGAAATCGATCAGACAGACACAAGGAGAACCGAGTGTAGATTTGGGACAGCAATCCAACTTGATTTCTCAGATCAATTGTCTGCTATCTCAGCAGCGGTGACAGCAGGCGGGGACGAGAGGGCAGCATGGAAAAGGAGGCTGTTCTTTCGATCGGGGCTGATTTTCTGGGCCTTTAGAGGTCACCAGAGGCTCCAGCAGAACTATGGGCTCAAAACTATTGAAGAAAGCCATCGTTGGTTGGGGGTGATAGATTTTTCATTTGTGTCTGTCAGGATTAAAGTAAACTAGGGAGGGAAGGAAGCAAAGATAGGCATGATTTATTAATGTACCGTAATCCTACTCTAGACTAATTGAGGTATAATGTCTGCAATGAAAGAGTTGATGGCCCCTTCAACTTTGCAGTGGTCAAATCATACATGATAATGGCCACATAAGAAGGCATCAAGAGAAGATCAGCTATTTTGCCATGTGAGGAATGGTTGAAAGAATTAGGAATTCTTAGCCCATAGAAGAGAAGATCTGGTTGGTACATGATAGTTTTAGACATACTGGCTGTCATCTTTGAGAGGGATTAGATTCATCATGAATGTCCTAAAAGAAGTAGGATAGGATCACTGAAAGGAGACTTAGAAACAGATTTCACTTCAACATTAATGGGCCTTTCCCACATTATTGTTCAAGGAAGAGATGGGCTGCCTCTGGAAATCAAGAATTCCCCATCATTGGAAAAGTTCAAGCACGGTTTGGCTAGCTGGTTGGTAAGGATATTTAGAGGGGTCAAGCACAGGTTGTGATAGGTCTTGGTGACGTTTAAGGGCCCCTTGCTTTCAGGAATTCTTTATTTTATACCTCCTTCAGGTAGATTCCCCTCTGAGTTTGTATCGTATTCATCAAGACTTTCTCTGAGAGGGAAGCAGGGCTGTCAAAGTAAACCCTGTTAAACATACTCTAGGTAATCATGTTACTTTCTAGGAAGGATTTCCAGAGAAGAATTCTACTGTCTTATACTAATAATACTAATTATTATTACTGTCTTAATAATACCAATTATTATTACTGTATTAATATCCGATTCGCCAGAGCCTACATTTACAGAAATACAGGATACCATGGTGAGGAAGTACAGTCTCAAAAATGGTTTCCAAAAGAATGAAATTGCTCTGTGGTTGTGTGTATGCATTCAAGCACATACACATTTATGCATTTCCTGAATATTTTTTATATATAGGATAGATTTTTCCAGAGAAAACTTTGCTCTTTGCATAAGTGGAGGGGAAGAACATGAGACAAGTCCCTAGTGTGGAGACAGCAATATAGGCATTCTCAAAAAAGGAGACTAAAGAAAGTCCATGTGACTGGGCAGGAAATGGGCTCACAGTTCTGTTGTATGGCATCCTTCTTTCCTAATCGGGCAGCCCAGAAGAGAGCAGCACTCAGACTCTGTGGGGTCAGCACTGACCCTCCTTCTGACATCATCTGGTGGGCTGGGAGTCATTTCTGAAATCGAACAACCAAACATGTGCAGACAATTATGTCTGATTGCATACGCCCGCCACAAACACTGGGTTTGAGAATGCCACTTGAAAGAGTCTATCATTTTGCACTGATTATTTTTTTCTCTGTGAACTGTGGTTATTTCATTTCTGGGTCCTTAATATGCAGGGTAAATGAGTCAAAGGCTGATCATGATGTGAGATGTTTATTTGGTATCAATTTTAAACTGTGCCACCTGCAGGAGACTCACTTGTTATAGTGAGATGTATTTTTAGATGGTGGGATTGGACACTGGGACATGTGTATGTGCAGAGTAGGGTTGTAGCTGCCAGGAGAAGAACGAGAGAGAGAGAGAAAAGAGGAGGGGAGAAAAGAAGAGATGGGACAGGAATGAGAGATTTGAGCCAAGAAATAAAAATAAACAATTTGTAAACCCAAAGCAGCAATGGAATTCCCAACTGGCCTCTGGATTGTGTTTCATTCTGTGGAGGACATTTTCTGGGCAGCTTTTACCCTCTCCCCTGGCGGGGTTTTTACAGCACCCACCCATGTCTTATCCAACCCACATCTGTTTTAAATCCTCTAAAGTTCAGACTGAGGAGCCCTAGTGGCGTAATAGTTAAGCGTTCAGCTGCTAACCAAAAGGTTGTCAGTTCGACCCCACCCACCAACTCCTGGTGAGAAAGACCTGGCGATCTGCTCCTGTAAAGATTGCAGCCTAGAAAACCTTATGGGACAGTTCTGCTCTGTAAGATGGGGTAGCTATGAGTTGAAAATTGACTCAATGGCACCTAACAACAACAACGAAGTTCAGACCACTTGCCTGAAACTACGACCATGTAGCAATGGGTTGCAAGGTGTAGTGGTAAGAGTCCTGTACCTGGAGTTGGAAGACCGGCTCTGATAAGTTTCTATGTGGCCATAGGCAAGCATCTAAGCTCCCTTCTATAAAAAGGCTCCAGTAATTCATACCCTTAATACCTCAAGGGCTGCTTTAGGGAAAATGAGAAAATAAGTAGGAAGGACTTGACAAAGCATAAATTGTTCTGCATGAATACAGTATGAAATATTATAAGCAATAACTTTCTGATTTGACCTTTTCCCCCATTTGTGTGAGCAGTTTTCACAGTAGGTAGCTCCTAGTGAGGACAGGTTCGGACACAGTTGTCACTTTTTCTCTCTTCTGATGGAAAGGTATGCTTTTGAGATGGATATAGAGTTATGCAAGGCCTAAAGACCCCCTTCCTTAGCCACTGTGAGAGTTAAATTATACCTCTTTAAGTACTTTGTGTTCTCAAAACGGGCAATGCTTACTAGGTTTAGAGTGGCTTTAGGTAATGGAGAGAGATTATTTCACTTCTCTGTCAATCAGACGTACTTAAAGATCACTTAGCTATCACATCCATTCTTTCCATTCCCACTGCCACCATCCTAGTTCTAGAAATAACTCATTAGCTGCAATAACCTCCTAATCACTGTTACTCCTTTGACTTTCCTCTTTCACCTGCACACATCCCCTGGATTATGAAGACATTCCTTGCTCAGAAATCATCAGTGGCTCCCCATTGCCTACCTAAGCATACTCTCTACCTTCCTGTCCTCCCAGCCTCGTCCTCCATCACCAGAGTAAACTCCGGGCACCAGTCAGTGTGGTCAGTTCACCTTTACCTGGCCATGCACTTTCCCCTACATTTGCTCATCTCCATCTACATAAATGTTCTTTCATCTCTACACCACCCTCTTATCTCACCCCACTATCAAAATCATACTTATTTTTCCATGCCCAGCTCTCCTTGCTGTTTTTCTCCCTCTTAGCCCTTCTTCCCTGCTCATTTCTTCTTGATGTACAGAAAATATACCCCTTTTACTTGGTCTTTTTGTCTTTCATTCCCAAATATATGTATGACCCTAAAATGCATGTATTAGTTGCTCAAAGCATGTCTGTCGCATGAATAAATCAGGCAGGAGAAGACAAGATACCACTGAAGTAAAAACACGCTTTAATGACCTATAGCCATGTTTTATGTTTTCTATCAGCCTTAAAGTATCTGGTCATAGTTTTTATTATAAATATTTCACTAATCCACAAACAGACTGTCTTTTTAATCCACAAGGGTTAAAAAGGGCTGCCTTTTGGAATGAGCTTTTTAAACATTTTGACCAGTGCAGGTTGTCTGAGAATATGATTAGAATCAGCATTAAATATATAAAGTCAAGTGGTGATGTTAATGCTAAAAGAGAATTATCTGTTTGCTTCCTTTAACTGCTTTTACCCTAAGCCATTCATCTAGCTGTATAACATTGTTTCTAACGGGATTTTCTTTGGCCTCCCTAGCAAATGTAGGCCTAGAACCTGCACGGGCAACCTGGTGGAAGGTGGAAGCAACCTGAAATCAGGAAATTTAGATTCTTCTCATGGCTTTTCTTTTGATGAGTCATTTTCACCTCATTGTGTTGTTGCTTCATCTGAAAAATTTGCCAAGTAACCCAGATAAGCAAGCTCTAAGGTGCCTTTTATAAAGCTCAATAGTTCTAGAATCCTACGAGTAGGATCTTTGATGCTTACTGTTGGCTCAAGGGCCCTCAGACTCAAGTATAGCATTCTCTCCTCAAAAAGTTCTTTCATTATCGTTAGTCTCTCCCATACTTCCTACCCACCCCACTGCCCACCCCTCAGATCATATCTTCAGACCCTAAATGGGACGGAGGCAGAGCTCGTATTATGTGAACTTTTTTCCCTTTGAATTCTCAGAGATTTGTGGTAAGAGAAAGCATTATTCTTTAGAGTGAAACAATTCTTTTTTTTTTTTTTATGTAAGTTAAAAGAGTGGGTTCATTCCAGCCAGTCTTACGTGTAAATATTTTTCTTGATCAAGAGTCTCAGTGAAAACGGAAATAAAGTGTTAGTGTTCTGTCTATAAGGGGAACACGCTATT